GAGGGTGACATGTCGGGGAAACATCACAAGCTTGTGACATAATCTTGTCAGGGAAACATCACAGGAGGGTGCCATGTCAGGGAAACATCACAGGAGGGTGACATGTCAGGAAAACATCACAAGCGTGTGACATATTCTTGTCAGGGAAACATCACAGGAGGGTGACATGTCAGGGAAAAATCACAGGAGGGAGACATGTCAGGAAACATCACAAGTGTGTGACATGATCTTGTCAAGGAAACATCACAAAGCTGTGACATGTCAGGGAAACATCACAAGTGTGTGATGTGGTCTTGTCAGGGAAAAGTTTCAGGGAGATGACATACGTTTGTCAGGGAAACATCACAGGAGGGTGCCATGTCAGGGAAACATCACAGGAGGGTGACATGTCAGGGAAACATCACAGGAGGGTGACATGTCAGGAAACATCACAAGTGTGTGACATGATCTTGTCAGGGAAACATCACAAAGCTGTGACATGTCAGGGAAACATCACAAGTGTGTGATATGGTCTTGTCAGGGAAACGTTTCAGGGAGATGACATACGTTTGTCAGGGAAACATCACAGGAGGGTGACATGTCAGGAAACATCACAAGCGTGTGACATGATCTTGTAAGGGAAACATCACAAAGCTGTGACATGTCAGGGAAACATCATAAGTGTGTGATATGGTCTTGTCAGGGAAACGTTTCAGGGAGATGACATACGTTTGTCAGGGAAACATCACAGGAGGGTGACATGTCAGGAAACATCACAAGCGTGTGACATGATCTTGTCAGGGAAACATCACAAAGCTGTGACATGTCAGGTAAACATCACAAGTGTGTGATATGGTCTTGTCAGGTAATGTTTCAGGGAGATGACATACGTTTGTCAGGGAAACATCACAGGAGGGTGACATGTCAGGGAAACATCACAAGTGTGTGACATGATCTTGTCAGGGAAACATTTCAAGAGGTTGACTTGATCTTATCAGGGAAAAATCACAGGAAGGTGACATGTCAGGGAGATATTTCAGGAAGGTGACATGATCTAGTCTGGGACGCATGACGGGATGAATACATGTCAGGAAAACATATCACAGGAGAGTGACACGATCTTGTCGTGGAAAAATCAAAGGAGGGTAACAAGATCATAAAGGAAAACAAACCTCGGTGAACCCCAAACAACTAAGTAAAACACAATTATAACGACCCCAAGGGATCCTAAATGATTAGTACTTTACAGTAAAACATATTTATAATGACCCCCAGGAACCTTAAATATCAGCTCCCTTCTATAAAACATGCATCGAGCAAACCCCAGAGGACTTCAAAAGTTATTTGGCTAGTAGATATTTCCAATACACCCCCACAATGACAAATACTGAGGTGATGCTGGAATAAGGATATTCGACCAGCCATTATTTTTTGTACATTTGTGGAATTATTTACTTTTTTGTTAAAAACAATGTCCAAACTAGATTTAACATACTTAATATATTTCAGCGATATTTTGTATACATCATTAATATGGGAGGTAGTTGTAAGCTTAGTAATTTACTTTTCAATCCTTTTGACCCTAGCTTTCTTGTAGGTCAGGAACAGGGAGTTTGTTACTGACTTTGATGGCCAGTCTTTGGCAAGTTTTGACAGGGGATCAATAAAACAGGACTTCACAATATAGACATGTTTGTTGTAAACAAGTTCCACTGTAGTTCTCCGGTATAACCAATACACTGCGGGTTATACAGATATAACGGCTAATTAATACCTGTGCAGCTGATTTGGGACGATGCACTTTTACGATGTTCAGTACACACTGACAACATAACTAATTACATCAAACGGCAAATATTGTTGATGTGTAATAGTTGGTCTTGGATTGGTTGACAGTGGCTCACTCAAGGAATGAAACCGATAGCTATAAATCCAAGTTGTAATTCAAATGTAAAAGAATTAGTTTAATTACCTTTGAGAGTTTTAACCATAAAAAGCAGACCTATAATGAGATAATGGTTGCCGAGTTGTGCCTCAATCAGCATTCATCTCGTCAATTCATTTAACAGTAGGAGGATTACGGTGTAATATTTTGTCATTTCCTTTCCGTCGGAGTGAGGATGATGGGACCGGTGGCTCTGACGAAGGTGACATCCACCAATGTGCTGCAATGTTTTCGCCGTCGAAATAATGTGAGGCAGATTTATAAATTAAGAAAATCTTAAATCTTGCCCTTGACTACATGTGATTTCACAATAATGTATGTCAACCAAGCCCCAACAGAGATGTATAATTAGGATTTATAGCACTTCTATATGACAAGCAATAATCGTAAACCTTGTGATTACTCCTCCCCGCAGAGCCAGAACGCCACCTAGTGGCAGGAGTATGTCATTGACGGTGGTCCAGGGACGGAGCCGGTGATGTAAACCCCTGTGTTTATTCTGGTTCTAATTATATAATGAAATAAACATTCAAATGTTTTCTATCTAATAAATGTCAGATGAATGCATGTGAGCCAGTTCGTGTTATTTTGTTGGGTTTGGCTGTGCGGCATGCTAATGTCAGCATGCGTGGATCGTGGATCCCAGCGTCTACCTTACATTCCATAGTGTTGATCGCATTATTACTTTAATGCAAACCTTGAATTACAGATAAACATAAAGTCAGACTGAATCAAACGGTAATAAATCACCCCAGAATGTCGCAGGGTGGCAAATGTATTAGCATGCATCATGCTCATCTGCATACTTTCATGTTTTGTCTTTACATAGTTGGTTAGGCCCCTGTCGGGGTCGTGTGTGATGCTCTAGGTATCATTTTCCTCTTGGTCAGGGTTGAGTCTGATGGTCTAGGTATCATTTTCTGCCTCGTCGGGGTTCAGTCTGATGTTCTAGGTATCATTTTCTGCCCATGTAACACTGCATGCTATTTAGTTTATGGTTAACTAAGTAGGTTACCAAGAGAAAAACTTCCGGAGTTTCTGACATCGGAATGCTATCTGTTGTCCTACATAGTAGACAGTTATGTAACACTTGTCTCCCAAATTAAACCACATTCACATCTGTGTTACGTAGATGATAATAACATTTTTATAAATCTCCCATTCCTGCATGATTTGAATGACGGGAATATTTTGTCATTTTTTCCCCCCACATTTTTAAAAGTCTCCTTAATCAATTGCATACTAAGAGGTATGATTATATTTATAAACATGTATGCACTATTCAAAAATGTAAATTTTTCAAATTCTCATTTTAGTACAGAAAAAAAGTATATCATTTAATATTAATAAATTATTTTATGAATGTTTTGACACATATTCAATTTATTAACTTCATTCGTAAAATTCTATAACTTTTTACGTTGCGATTTCGTCAGGAAAATTTATGATGCAATTTATTAGAAATCCCTGTTGATTCAGCTTGGGAGTTTATTAACTTGCTTTAAGTAGTACTATGGTTTTAATTTGATTATACAATTGAAATGGCTCAGAATTTTCTCTGGAGGAGTGTTTGCTGCAAACAATTGCAACACAATCACCTTAATCTAGTTTGATGAACACTAAATTTGCTTTCAGGAAACAAAACGCACCGTATGATGGTGGAGGTGTAATATTGTAGAAATAAGATTGTCTTTAATTTATTGACAAATGATATTCAACAAGCACTGCACACTCATTTTATTGGATATTCCGCTGGAGAATGACGCCATGTTCACCATTTCTGTAAATTAGATATAGTTTTATTACATTAAAAGTGTTTATTTGCATTAAGACAGTGGGATATGAGTTGAATTTACGACAGTATTAGTTTGATCTCTGTTAGACAATGAGCGGTTGATAAAAACAAATTCTCCGTCGGTTTTAATGCTCAGCTTATCTCACAGATGTGGAAAGTTACAAAATAGAAAAGTGCTCTCAGTGTTAGTAAGACCGGCTTAGATGGAATTATAACAAGTGTCTGTTTGTGCCACAGAATAAATGTGCTTTATATAGATTGTATTAAATACAAAAAAATATGTCTAATTGTATCACATATTAACAAATCTGTCCAATTTTATGGCATATTACCAAATATGTCTAATTTTATTACATATTAACAATTGTGTCTAATTGTATCACATATTAACGATTGTGTCTAATTGTATCACATATTAACAATTGTGTCTAACTGTATCACATATTAAAAATTGTGTCTAATATTACTTATAACCAATTGTGTCTAATTGTATCACATATTAACAAATCTGTCTAATTGTATTATACCCCCCCAAATCTGTCTAATTCTATCACATATTAACAATTGTGTCTAATTGTATCACTTATTAACAAATCTGTCTGATTGTATCACCGATTACCAATGTGTCTGATTATATCACAGAGCACCAATGTGTCTGATTATATCACAGAGAACCAATGCGTCTGATTGTATCACCGATTACCAATGTGTCTGATTTCTTCTTGTATCACAGATTACCAATGTTTCTGATTGTATCACAGATTACCAATGTGTCTGATTATATCACAGAGCACCAATGTGTCTGATTGTATTATATATTGACAAATCTGTCTAATTGTGTCACATATTAACAAATCTGTCTGATTGTATCACAGAGTATCAATATGTCTAATTGTGTCACAACAAATTACAAAAACTGCAATTTACCACAGAGTACCAATATGTCTGATTGTATCACAGAGTACCAATGTGTCTGATTGCATCACAGAGTACCAAAGTGTCTGATTGTATCACAGAGTACCAATGTGTCTGATTGTATCACAGAGTATCAATGTGTCTGATATATTGTATCACAGAGTACCAATGTGTCTGATATATTGTATCACAGATATCTAGCATGTCTACAACTATCACATAATAACACAGTGTCTACTTGCATCAGTGGGCAATGTATCTTCTTCATTCAATCATGATGCAAAACAAAACATCTAATGTTGTGGAATACCTCCTTTTTTCCCTCTAGAAATGACATGTGATTAACAATTTTTGTTTATGTTTCAGACATGTAAAGATCTACGACTTGAGTTCCTACCAAGTGGTACATACACTAGACTACCCTGGTACCCTCACAGCCGTAGCTGTATCTGTAAGTAAATACACTAGACTACCCCGGTACCCTCACAGCCGTAGCTGTATCTGTAAGTAAATACACTAGACTACCCCGGTACCCTCACAGCTATCACTGTCTCTGTAAGTAAATACACTAGACTACCCTGGTACCCTCACAGCCATCACTGTCTCTGTAAGTATTTACACTAGACTACCCCGGTACCCTCACAGCCGTAGCTGTATCTGTAAGTAAATACACTTGACTACCCTGGTACCCTCACAGCCGTAGCTGTATCTGTAAGTAAATACACTAGACTACCCCGGTACCCTCACAGCTATCACTGTCTCTGTAAGTAAATACACTAGACTACCCTGGTACCCTCACAGCCGTAGCTGTATCTGTAAGTAAATACACTAGACTACCCTGGTACCCTCACAGCCGTAGCTGTATCTGTAAGTAAATACACTAGACTACCCTGGTACCCTCACAGCCGTAGCTGTATCTGTAAGTAAATACACTAGACTACCCTGGTACCCTCACAGCCGTAGCTGTATCTGTAAGTAAATACACTAGACTACCCTGGTACCCTCACAGCCGTAGCTGTATCTGTAAGTAAATACACTAGACTACCCTGGTACCCTCACAGCCGTAGCTGTATCTGTAAGTAAATACACTAGACTACCCTGGTACCCTCACAGCCGTAGCTGTATCTGTAAGTAAATACACTAGACTACCCTGGTACCCTCACAGCCGTAGCTGTATCTGTAAGTAAATACACTAGACTACCCTGGTACCCTCACAGCCGTAGCTGTATCTGTAAGTAAATACACTAGACTACCCTGGTACCCTCACAGCCATCACTGTCTCTGTAAGTAAATACACTAGACTACCCTGGTACCCTCACAGCCGTAGCTGTCTCTGTAAGTAAATACACTAGACTACCCTTGTACCTTCACAGTCATCACAGTCTCTGTAAGTAAATACACTAGACTACCCTGGTACCCTCACAGCCGTAGCTGTCTCTGTAAGTAAATACACTAGACTACCCTTGTACCTTCACAGTCATCACAGTCTCTGTAAGTAAATACACTAGACTACCCTGGTACCCTCACAGCCGTAGCTGTCTCTGTAAGTAAATACACTAGACTACCCTTGTACCTTCACAGTCATCACTGTCTCTGTAAGTAAATACACTAGACTACCCTGGTACCCTCACAGCCGTAGCTGTCTCTGTAAGTATTTACACTAGACTACCCTTGTACCTTCACAGTCATCACAGTCTCTGTAAGTAAATACACTAGACTACCTTGATACCCTCACAGCTATCACTCTCTGTAAGTAAATACACAAGACTATGTACCCTCACAGCTATCACTGTCTCTGTAAGTAAATACACTAGACTACCCTGGTACCCTCACAGCTATCACTGTCTGTAAGTAAATACACTAGACTACCCTTGTACCCTCACAGCTGTCACTGTCTGTAAGTAAATACACTAGACTACCCTGGTACCCTCACAGCTATCACTGTCTGTAAGTAAATACACTAGACTACCCCGGTACCCTCAAAGCTATCACTGTCTGTAAGTAAATACACTAGACTACCCCGGTACCCTCACAGCTATCACTGTCTCTGTAAGTAAATACACTAGACTACCCCGGTACCCTCACAGCTATCACTGTCTGTAAGTAAATACACTAGACTACCCCGGTACCCTCAAAGCTATCACTGTCTGTAAGTAAATACACTAGACTACCCCGGTACCCTCACAGCTGTCACTGTCTCTGTAAGTAAATACACTAGACTACCCCGGTACCCTCACAGCTATCACTGTCTGTAAGTAAATACACTAGACTACCCTTGTACCCTCACAGCTGTCACTGTCTATGTAAGTAAATACACTAGACTACCCTGGTACCTTCACAGTCATCACTGTCTGTAAGTTAATACACTAGACTACCCTTGTACCCTCACAGCTGTCACTGTCTCTCTTTAAGTAAATACACTAGACTACCCTGGTACCCTCACAGCTGTCACTGTCTCTGTAAGTAAATACACTAGACTACCCCGGTACCCTCACAGCTATCACTGTCTGTAAGTAAATACACTAGACTACCCTTGTACCCTCACAGCTGTCACTGTCTATGTAAGTAAATACACTAGACTACCCTGGTACCTTCACAGTCATCACTGTCTGTAAGTTAATACACTAGACTACCCTTGTACCCTCACAGCTGTCACTGTCTCTCTTTAAGTAAATACACTAGACTACCCTGGTACCCTCACAGCTGTCACTGTCTCTGTAAGTAAATACACTAGACTACCCCGGTACCCTCACAGCTATCACTGTCTGTAAGTAAATACACTAGACTACCCTTGTACCCTCACAGCTGTCACTGTCTATGTAAGTAAATACACTAGACTACCCTGGTACCTTCACAGTCATCACTGTCTGTAAGTTAATACACTAGACTACCCTTGTACCCTCACAGCTGTCACTGTCTCTCTTTAAGTAAATACACTAGACTACCCTGGTACCCTCACAGCCGTCACTGTCTCTAAGTAAATACACTAGACTACCCCGATACCCTCACAACTATCACTCTCTGTAGGTTAAATACACTAGACTACCCTGGTACCCTCACAGTCTTCGTTATGTCCATAAGTAAATACACTAGAGTACCCTCACAGCTGTCGCTGTCTCTGTAAATATATCACTATTGTCATGTGACCATAGATTTGTGTGGTGCAGGTGTTTTACATGCCAGGAAATGAAATTTAAAAAAATCCATTTAGAGAATAGAAATTTTCCTCAATTCCTGTTTAATGTTATTGTAAGAGGATTACCAACGGTGTATAGAATCCATAATAGAATTTAGTTTGATTACATTAAGGAAAAATCTTTATTTTTTTTTATGATATTGGGGGGAAAAGAATTAGAGATGTATTATAGATGAGTTGACGTTCTTGAGATTAGTATAGGCATGTCTGATGGTGGAAACAGTATCACGCATCTGTGCCTTAACCTTATGAAGTTACATAGTTCTAATGATATTCCAAACCCACAACTTTATCCTAGTGATACTCCACCTCACAAAAGTATCCTAGTGATACTCATCCTCACAACAGTATCCTAGTGATACTCCACCTCACAACAGTACCCTAGTCATACTCTACCTCACAACAGTATCCTAGTCATACTCATCCTCACAACAGTATCCTAGTCATACTCTACCTCACAACAGTTTCCTAGTCATACTCATCCTCACAACAGTATCCTAGCGATACTCCACCTCACAACAGTACCCTAGTCATACTCTACCTCACAACAGTTTCCTAGTCATACTCATCCTCACAACAGTAGCCTAGTCATACTCTACCTCACAACAGTTTCCTAGTCATACTCATCCTCACAACAGTATCCTAGTGATACTCATCCTCACAACAGTACCCTAGTGATACTCCACCTCACAACAGTATCCTAGTGATATTCCACCTCACAACAGTATCCTAGTAATACTCCACCTCACAACAGTGTCCTGGTGATAGTCCACCTCACAACAGTATCCTAGTGATATTCCACTTTGAATGAGAATAATAATGCATTATTGATGAATAATGGGATAATAAGGGCCTTATCTCAAAATTTAAAAGACTTGTCTTTTAGAAGATGTCATGGTGATGCACTGTGATTTGTAAATGTGCAATAAAGGTTTAAAAAAATTCTTTGGTCAAGGTCAATGTCACCAAATAAAACCAAGAGTAGGTGGGGTTTCGGTCAGGTACCTGGTGGGGGCCTGCTGACCTGTCCAGTGTTCTAGTTTACATAGCTGGTAAGAATAGCAGTAAGCGGTGTATTGGTTTGTGACGTTTGACCTGTTAAAGTAAGATTTTATATCCTTTTTTTTTTCAAACCTCCAGCCGGATGACAACTTATTGGTGGTAGGAACAGCAGAAGGCTTGGTGTCCATACAGAAGAGAAAAACAGAAGATGAAGTTAAACACAAGAAAAAGAAAAACCAGAATAGCAGATTTGGTCTCCGAGGAAAGACTCATATTCCAAAAGAGGTATGAAATGTCAAAAAGTTTAAAATACCATTCAATAGGAAAAATGCTCAGCATTTCTTCAATAAGGTTTAGATTGAGATAAGACATTTAATATGTATTGTTTTACATGCATTTATTCATAGTCTGTATCGCTTACCCAACAGGACGACCATCATGTGGAGCACACGAAGAAAGACCATCTAGCAAAATACGACAAGTTCCTCAAGAAGTTTGAGTACAGCAAGGCACTGGATGCTGCCATGCATGTGAGTAAATAACAGGAACTGCTGTCTTCTAGGAGGCAGTCAAATGGCCTGGGTACCAAAATAAACGAGGTATTATACGCCTCTAAAAATATTCCCTTTTTGAAGGTCAACAGAAAATAAAACTATACACACTTATGGAAAAACATTGTGCAAAGACTATCATCCAGTGGATAGTTTTCAAACTATAGCATTCTGTATGACTATCAACGCCCATATATGTTTTCACAGAATTGTTTTATATGACTAATATTAATTGGCTATTGCACCCCACTTTCAGCCAATTAGGGTTAGCGTTACATACAACATGTTCCTGTTACTTTGACCCGTATCCGCTGCTTATTTGGTGATTTCAAATGTTCTCTAATGAATCAATTAAAAGAACTACCTGGTATTCAGAAAAATTGGTATCCATAAAATTTTGTGGTTTTGCAGTATATTTGTGGAAGTAAAATGCTTCATAAATATCTGTAACATTTGAGACTGTTTGTTTGAAGAATGATAATAACTGAGAATTTCTTTGAAAATATTTCATCACAATACGTATGTACAGTGTGAGCCTGCCTGTAAGCTAGATTTAACTGTCAATTCCTTTTTTCAGTGGACTGTCCGATTATCGAATCCTGATGTGACACTCTCAGTCATCCAGGAGCTTGTAAGGCGTGAGGGTATCAAACCAGCTCTGGCAGGCAGGGACGAGAAATCTCTCTCTCACCTTCTCCGATTTATAGAAAAGTCAGTTTCTCACTACTGCTGTAGCATTAGCGTGTATTCAATTACTGATACAATGTACTATCAAATCAAAAAACATTTTAACAATTCTATGCATTTTATGCCAGTAACAGCTTACGATTATTGAACACCAGTTTTAGATTCTGTTTATCATATAGTGTCTGATTTTCTTGATTCTACATCAGTGAGACATTCTATCAGTCTAAGATTCTATTCATCATGCATTAGTCTAATATTCTATTTATCATGCATCAGTCTAAGATTCTATTTATCATGCATCAGTCTATACTAAGATTCTAGTTATCATGCATCAGTCTAAGATTCTATTTATCATGCATCAGTCTAAGATATTATTTACCATGCATCAGTCTTAGATTCTATTTATCATGCATCAGTCTAAGATTCTATTTAATATGCATCAGTCTAAGATTCTATTTATCATGCATCAGTCTAAGATTCTATTCATCATGCATCAGTCTTTAAGATTTTTGAGCTCAAAATAGGAAGAAATTTGCAAATATTTTGAATATTCAAAGATGTCTGTTTTATTTCAGAAATATTTACAAACCAAGATACATGAATACATTGATTGACATTATGGCACTCATAATGGGTAAGTAAAGAATAGCATAACCACATTTATATTATCAACTTGAAGGAAATATAAACATTCTTTTTTAAATGTCTGGCATATTATTTAATTGAATATCTCAAATGGGTCATTTACAACATTGTCGCTACAGATGGAAAGATTCAGGGATGAGAGAAAAACATCATACAGTGTAGGTGACTTGAAACTATGATTTTGGGATTCCTTCATGTGACTATAGTAATAAAATATTTCAATGAAATTTTTTAGATGCAACTTTTTGTTAGTTTAAACTCTTTAAGTTGTATAGGGCTACTGTACTTTGTTCCAGACCTGAGATGGGATATGTCCTTGACATTTACAAATGTAGGTCAATCACATGAACTTGTGATACACAAAAGCAGTGGAATGACAAATTTTATCTTACATTTATTACAGAATTGTACAAAGGATTAATCGACCAGTCCCACGACCTCGGTTCTCACCTGAAGCGTGTAAACTCGGTCGTACATCGCGAGGTTGAACTGATGAAACAGCTCTATGAGGTTATGGGTACCATGGATACATTGTTCGCAGCGGCCACATCACAGCAGTCCAGTCAGGCTCTGGAGTCAGGAACACTGGCTGATAATAAGCTGACACCCTCGATGGCTGCCCAATCATTGTAGCCCTAAAGTGTAGAGGAATGGGTGCGGAAGTTTAACCGTGATTTTAACTGGCGTTCACAGTCAGATATAAAGAGAAATTCATCTATTTTTTGAGAGAGAAAAAAACAATTGATTGTGCAAATAATTGTTATCGGATGAAATCTGTAACTAAAAAAATAAATTTCCATGGAAAGTCACCACATGAAATGCAGAAAAGTTCACCTAGAGCATGTTTTGCTTTGTTCACCAATTGTGTGATGATGATATACCATTTATATTAAAAACCTGTCGTAAAACAAGGATGTGATTATTTGCTTAAACACTGCATGGTCAACTAGTGCTGTTAGATTTATCACTCGTGTTTGATGTAGACAGAGAAATCTCAACACGTTGTTGAAATATTTCAAGTTTAGCACAGGCTTGATTTGAGGGTTGATATTTCTTCGTCTTCCACAACCACTGTAGGTTTTCCGTCTCCCAGCTCAGTACATAAACCTGCTAGGAGTTGGTAAGCATTCTTTGTTAGCCACTAGTAGGTTATACCCTGGACGGGATTTAATCGGTCAAACTCTTAATTTTGATGTCATGTGCAATGCTTTTCTCTGGCATCTGCCATTGTGATATAATGATTCATGGCAATCGTTTTCCCATTTGGGAAAAGGAATCATTTATCTTCAAGTTATGGTGTTCTAGATAGGATATGAAGGTTGTGGGAGAAAAACACTCCCAAACTCACGACGGAGTGGGTCTTATCTTACTCTCATTAGTTAGTTAATTTTAAAATTGTAATGAGACCCTCGGTAAACTTTGTGTCTTCCTACATTTGTACAAATTGTAAATTACCTGTAACTCCAGTTAAAGATGACAACAACCAGCACTGGTTGGGGAACTTTTTGTCTACATCACATTGGGGTGATTACCTCCTTCCCATACTTTCTGCTCTAAATAATTACTCCTAGTTATAATGGCAACCCCAGTGCACCACACCATGAATGGTGCATGGAATGTGTGACGTTATTGATGGTGCTATCCTGTTGTGATGGTTACGCTGCATGAAGTGATGACCTGATCCTACTTTGAAGTAGCGACATTTTCAGTTTAAAGGTATACTGAGCTGTATTTCCCTAGGTAGGTAATGACATGTGTTTCTTTTCCTAGCAAAAAGAAAAATACACCTGTCAGGTGTGGGAAAATGTGTTTTCGGACATAGCATGAAGGTCTGTCTGTACATTAGAAGACTGGCATTATAAATGGTGTGAAATATGAGTGATTATTAAGAGAAGTGCTTTTATATGTACTGGTTGTTGAGGTCTGTCACATGAATGGTTGTAGTTTGAGTGTGTCAGTAAGTATCAGAATGGTATAGGTCTGACGATGTGCCTGTTTGCTTGGAGTGTGTCTGGTTCATTAGTAGGTGTGGCAGAATGAATCTTCTTTTAATCATTGTAGAGGGAGAGGGTGAGTATCTGGTGTAACGGAGAATGGTGTCCATATGTAGTAATAAGTGTTCTCCGATGTGACATGTGACTTACATTAGTATGTGACCAATAAATTGATATTAAACTCTAATTCGTTGCTGTTGATCGATTACAAAGATACCTATCATACAGAATTCAGTGATTTTCATTTATCAAAAGAATATAGTTGGTGGTACATGTAGTACTTACTTATAATGGCAGAATAACGATAACAGAGAAGGCTCTCAATTTATGTCCATGATAAATATGGAGGTTGACAGACTGTTGACTCATGTTAAGTAATGAAGATAACACCATTGGCTCCCATGTTAAATATTGAGAGTTACAGTGATGGTGATGGCTGATTGAGGATAACAAGCTCATTCAAATCAGAATTGGTAAACTACACACAAGGACAAAATCCCAGTCGTATTACACTACAGTACTCTCTGTTGGAATTCTGAGGAGCTGTTACATCAGAACCTTGTACTGTGCTTTCCATTGCACATGTAACCAAGGAAGGAAGACGGTTCTGGTTAGGATGTCTTGGGAGTAGGGTAAAAAGCCAAGCTGCAGTATTCTGAACAACATAGGAAGCCGGTTATTGTATGAGATAACATATAAAGGCGAGGGGTTACCAGAGTGGATGTATCAAGGTTGTACATACATCTGTAGTAATGAAGTGCACAATACACCCAACGATTCAGATTTGGTAGGTACCATGCCGTTTTAACAGCCCTATAACCGGTTTAGTCATAGAACTGTCAAAGTATACTCCTGAGTTCCTTATCGATGGGACTGCCAGAATACTGATGGTTTTACTGCCAATATTCAGCTGCATCGCTTTTGTCTGATTCTTTAAGTGATTGGTTCACAAGCGCGTGTTTGATTGTGAAAACAAGACGTTGTTTTATTCTTATCCCGATTTAGCTTTCTCACATTGGTATCAATCCTAGTATTGGTGTCTGTCAGACAGGCCTCAAAACTCCCAACATGGCATCCTAGTTCTTATGTGGTCTGGTGATGATATGTATCTGTGTCATCAGCTTAACAGTGCTAGAGTAGGTTATGGCGACGGCAGACTGTACCAGATACATGTAGACAATTTTGCGGGACCGAGCACCGACCCCGGAGGAACCTAAATGTGGATCTGTAGAGTTTTATCGTGAGATGTGGGTCATTCCAAAAGTGTCGCCAGTTACTCCTGTAAAATGTGTCGGTGGCTCGCCATTGCATTTGATATCATCGGTCATCATAAGGCTGTCAATGTCCGCCGTAGAGTTTGTAACAGAACTGTTTTCTCTGGCGGTACTGATCTTGTTCAAGCAGAAGTCGCTGAACTTGTAAGACAAGTCTTTTCCCGATGAACAACTGGATAAGATCATTTCTCCTTTCTGGCCCATCACGTTATATGACAATCTTTAAAGGTGTTTTTTTTTTATCTGTTCCACGTTCTTCAATCTTGATATAATCCTTGCACCGAATGAGCAGCGAACTCATCACCAGCCGTCACTGCTCAAGCACTCTTGTCATCTTCAGTCCGTATTCCAGTGCTGCTGTTTCCCTTAATGTACAGAGTATCGGGGAATGTTTGGACCTACGATGATCACTTTTGTCTGATCTGTACGAGTTAGTTGATCAAGGCTTCTATGCTTCGACAAGATCCTTTAACCCCCGACAGTGGTTTGGAGGGAGCTAGAAGACTCCAAATACAGTACTTCCGGAAGCTGACCTCTTTTCTTGCGAGATCTGATTTACTACAATTGGATCTTGATTTAACAGAAATATGATCACCAAAAGGGTTTAACTTGGTGCTGCTAAGATACGAATCCACAAACAAAGACACTTCTTGAAGGACAGAGATCGCCATTAGTTTTAGTGGCAGGTATCAATATTGGTTGGATCGACAAGAGGATTTTACGGGTCACTCTTACTTTCTATTCTGGTACTACAACTAAAGAGTGTAGGTACGTAGGTAGATATAGGCCGCTAACCAAAAAGTACGCGTTTGGTTAGCCGTTCTAGTATACAGATTGGGAGGTGTGCATGAGTGTCCCAAATACAGTGTGGCTTACGTGCTCAAAGTGTGTATAGTCATTGCGTTCACACATAGGCTTTTCTACAAACATACAGCTACGCCACCACCGCGTCTATCATGACGAGTGCAAACTCGACTAAAACTTGGTCATCGATACTTGTACCTAACTGGGTTTCTGGCCAAAATGCCAATAGACAATAACCATATTTAAAACCGAACAACTTCCATCCGGGCTAATGGCCCTTGTGTTCCGGGAGGAGGAGGGCCTGTGTTAATGATCTGTGTGAATTGATCATGCAGTTGCTGCACACAGGTTGGTATATAAAGATAAACCACTGGTGTAGCTAGATCGGTAGAACGGTGTGATTAAATGAGGATGTAGGTACTTCTTTGAATCTGAGGATTGATGATTCCGGACATACAACTGCAGGTGTGATTATAAAAGAGCACACAACAGGAAGAGTGATTAAGTCAACGAATTTACTTGTTGCATTAAAACATCTATCGTGTTATTTACATATCGGCAAGGAACAGATTATATCTATTCGGGAAACACCAGCTTGTGTTATTTCAATAGGTATGCTTACATTATGTGTAGATAGGTATACTATGGGTAACTTATAAATTATAAACAGTATAAAATAAAGAATTAGTCAATCTGGTGAAATGTTAAATTAATACAGTCAACAAGACAGACATAAACCAGAACTGTCATGCTATTTCTGACGTACATGATTCATCAATTACTTTCTATGCCAACTCTTGTGTCGTTGCAATCGAGAAAATATCGGACCGTTGGATTTGTTACTTCACGCAAAATTCATTTCGAATACTTGTAGAAGAATATCGGAAACGCTTTACATGGCGATCTGAAGCAAACCATATTAGTCTTAATCGACGTATTTTCCTAATACCTTCTGTATTAATGACTAATGTGGTTGCCCGGATCTTTCTTTAATACATAACCATGTTTCTGTGACAACTGGAACCATCTTTAAACTCCCCGACCTGGATACCAAGCGAATTTGTTGCAATTTTTTAGCAACAAATTCACACGAGTTTAATCAATTCCGGCACAAATTAATAGTTTGTGCGTAAAATCGCATTATATAGAAATTCTTAATTAAAGTTTAATTAGAACATGTTAATAGACCTTCATTTAGTTAATGAATCCACCAAACTGTGCACGGTGATAACAGATGGTTTAAAAACTACCTTACGATAAAACTAAGACATAAATATCAAGAAAAACACAACAGTTGCCTTTTTGTGGGAGTTCGGGGAATGCGAAAGCCATTTATTTAATTAATTGTTCTGCAATATCTTTAATTGATGAATGACCCTAACTGATAGTTGTGGCTTTGTTTTTTCTCTATTCTAATATTTTTTATAAAAATGTATTTGACATTCTTAATCTTTTATGTAAGTGTTAAGGAGTGTGTGTTCAAGTCGACTACCAGCCACTACTATCGTAGTGCAATATTTAGGAATATCAGAGACGTATATATTGTAATACATACGTCTCTGGGAATATGAAATCAATAATACTTTATGTTCAGTGTTTTATAAAAATGAATATAAATACCTCTGCGAAAAATTATGCTGCGAAAATGAATCATATGAAATCTCAAATGAGTTTCTGTTTTGCATGTTATCTTTATGGAACGAGACTGGAACACTAATACTTCAATGATACTAGCTATTGATATTAGTTAAGACTTAAGGTTCTCGCTTCTTAACATGTAGATATAGCCTTTGGCTGAGGTCGATACCTGGATTTATCAACCCGAAAAAAAGATATATTAACCGAGGACGCAGTCCGATAAATATCGGTTTTTATCGGTGGACACGTGATGCACTTCTGGCCAATCGCTTGTCGGGAATAATATGAAAAAATAATAAGGTTTGATAGAGACAAAAATGAAAAGGTGGGGGGGATATACTTTAATATTGAGATTTGTTGAAATCTTCGTCATTTGGTGTCAACCTTCCAATTATTGGAATATTAGATATATCAAATGGGTTTCGAGAACACTAGCTGAATAGGTCTATCAAGGGAATCTGCAACGTTTTTTGTTTGCGTGTTTATTTAATTGAGCGTGTCGATGTAAATAAATTTAGTATTTTTTCGCCACCGCGTGAAAACCATAATTTTCGGAACTTAACGCTTCCTCATTTCCGGTTTCATAAAATAAGGAAAATTGCTGAAATATTTCGGAGATAACGCTTTTCATGTCTGTTATTTACCGAATTTCGCTGTTGGAAGTTGAGAATGAGTTGTGTTTCAAGTACTACATATATAGTATATAGTTAGTACAGAAAGCAGAGGTTGGCAATTGTTAAGATATTTTGTGCTATGATATGAGTTGAGATTATTTTGAAACAGTTCACTAAATATTAACAATTCTAGTACATATATATAAATAATAATAATAATTTTAGTACATATATAGTTGTCCCGAGACATGTAACATGTCAACTGTTCTCCAATACCATCCCTGTTTCCCTTATTTCTTGAAGGCAACAAATATCATGGGCATATTCACCTCGTGAATTACGTGATAGAAAAAGAATATTTCAATCTCCTTTGAAATGAACACGAATTGAAGATCCTTTTTTTTTAATCACATGATAAAGAATAGTTCTTATATTCACTTAGAGCACGTCTGTCGCCAAGTCTTCAATGTCGCTATTTTGACGTTATGACTAAAAAAATAATTGTCTTCAAAGCGACGTCAAAATACATGGCGTCAAGATTATGGTCTTATGCTGACGTCACAGTTGGTTCTATTACATGGGTACAAAAACATATGGCTTCAGTGTATCCATTGCACAATAAGATATGCATGTGATAATTATACAATGAGTCCTTTCCCAGTGAACATCTAGGGGAACGAATAACGCCGGTGCCATTACAAACTGCTACTGCCACATATGTTCTCGGGGCGATGTACCACATATAACAATGTTTTTATTTATGGTCAAAAGTAACGTATACGGAATTCGTGTACGGATTGGTGGGGTGTGGTCCGACGCACGTGCCACGCCCCCTGTTCAGCGAGCTGCTGCTGATG